ATATATATTTTAATATATACATATTTTTATATATATAAAAAAAATATAATACCAGTTCTATCTGTAGATAAAAGAACCCACTAGCCCTAAAGAGTCCCACCAAAGCTCTTCTCACCCAGCTCCTTGTCTCTTACAGCAGTCTCGTGTCCCAGGAGAAGCGGCTCTGCTGAAGGCTCACCTACTCTCTCTCAAACATCCCCACAAAAAGGCACCACCGGACAAGAATATTGCCTATTAAAAACCAACAAGATGTATCTTCTCCTCTTTTGGACGCTTTAAAGTTCACTTTCGGATAGCAGCCATGCAAGGTAGGACGACAGTCATATTGGAGGGTAACAAGAAATATTAGGCAATTTAATTTATCCTCCTGTGCAGGGCACGGCTCTTGGAGGGAGACTGGATCGGTTACAGAGCGCACACAGCACTCAGACTCAGCCCAGCCAGCCTGGAGTGTATTTTATGACTGAGTTATAAACCCCTGAAAAACAGCTTTTATAAATGAAAACGCTGACACAGTCTTCAGCGTAGTGACAGCAATGTCATTGGTTTAAATTGAACTTGCTTTGTCAACCCAAGAGCACTTAAATAAAACATCTAAAAACCTCATGAAAACACACAATTTGTGATGAAACACTTTTAAACAGTTTTACAGATTATGTATTACATTTATTTCACTTCAAAAAAATCCTAAAGAAAGAAATGCAAACTAAAACAATGAAAGAATAAAAAAGCTAACAGCATTTCTTCTTATTTCTAAATTTTTTTTTTAGTTTTTAATTTATTTTTTATTTTTGGCAAAGGGAAGACCGGGCACCTTCAGACACCTCTTACTTCAAAAAGAACAAGAACGTTCACCATCTCTCAAAACGCAGGTGGTACTCACATCTAATACTTTTCACACTCTGCTAGCAAGTTTTTTGGGGCAGTTTTCTTATCCTTCAAAAGTAACAGTTCAGTTTCTCATTACAAACAGCTTTGCCGCAAAGAAATTCAAGATGTTTTAAAGGCTCAGAAGAATATTAAAGAAAATGAGAAGATTTACTTAGCTGCTATTTTATATCATCGTATGTTGTCAGAACAGCTCTTGCTAACCTGGTCCCACATGCCATTTCTTTCAAATTAACATGCTATAACTCTGCTAGCGTGAAGTTGTAGGGATTGGAGTGTTACACTACTAAGTGGAGATGATTTTAAAATCCTATAGCAAATGCTAGCTTCCCTTTATAACAGTTCCATCAACAAGAGCCTGGGTGTCTCCACTACCAATCCCCACGTCAATACAGTGTTACTTTAATGACAGTGACCTTGTGTGGCTCTTGGAGCATCTTTTTCACCTTTTTTGAGACATTTTTCTAAGCCACTGTCCTTGCTTTCATCATTTAACACATCACTCAAACCACTTCAATAAAACAGCGATCATGTTGAAGAGAGGTCTCGGAGGACCAGATGACATACCAATTAACAAAGCACAGAGAACCAAATTGTTTTTTTGTACATCTGGTTCAGAAGACATTTGTGGAAAGTGAGGGGGGGGAAGTTGAGAGGGTTTAAAAGCAGAGAGTAAATGCAAATAAAAAGAGTTTTCCTAATGTTGGCTAATACAATGTGAAATTCATCCTTCAAATTAAATTAATGACCAGACAGGATACCTACTAATAATCCTAAACTAAGCTCCAAATATCTTGGTCTACATCATAAATCATCGGATTGCTGCTGCACATCAAAGTACATTTTTTATTCAGCAGAGGAACTAGTCGATGCTTGCTCTATAGGACTTCTCCGTTTATATCACTCTATTCCACCGTGAATCAGGAAGAACACCATAGTCAAGCCTTAATGTCATACAGTCTCGTTTTAGCCCTTTGTTGGCTAGATTCATTTACAGAGTGCGTGAGTACATTCTGTATCTCTCCCAAAATTGTGAGGGCTCTCCAGCACCACAAACCATTAAAATTTGCAGTAAAATAAATTAAGAGAACTGCATCCCCTGTGACACGTTAAAGTATGTCATTATTGTAATCCAGAGTTAGCTCCAGTCAGACTCTGGAAATGATTTACAAGATCTGAATGCAATGATTCAGCGTTAAGTATTTTCATTTTGGATGAAACTGATTTGGCAAGGAATTATTGTTTAAAAACGTAACAATAGTCTCAGTTAACTTTCAGGCTACAAAATGTGAAATCTGCCTAGGTGCAGAGGGTCAGCACCAAGACTACTTAACTTCTATCTAATCCTCTCCTAAAAACATCAGTTACACTTCACCAAAAGGTATATTCAGCTTCACCTTAATGATACTATATTGTCCCAGAAGAGAAGGGAAGGGCACCTGTATTTTTTAGTTAATCATATCATGCCTTTGTCAGGCTGTGCAAGAAAGCCAATGCAAGTCATCCATGGTTTGAATGAACTGTTCTTATAGGAAGAAACAACTGCTTCAAGCAACGGGAAGTTCTTTCACGGGACTGTCCTTAAGCTGAAAAACTCTCCTGAGAGCTTATTGCTCGAGCTGTCAAGGCTACAAGGGTTTCCAGCTGTAGCTGGCTTGTTTGTGGCCAGCCAAGGCCGTTGTCAAAAAGGCTACGTGAACATACCCTTCGGTCACCACCAGACCAGAGCTACCTCGTCCCTTCTCCCAGACCAGACCAAGCCAGATCTGATTGTACTGGTCAAGATGTTATCATAACACAGGTATTTCAACTCCACTTATACACTCTAGGCTACCTTTCCTATAAACGATCATCTGTTTTTATAAAGTCATTGACATTTATGTTTCTTAAAATGTCTGACGAGCCCCAAGCTGAAAAAACCAACCTTTTTCCCCAAATTAAAACGGGCCTTGTTCTGACTGAATCTGCAGAAAGCGTGGCTTCTCCTGAATGACTGCATTTACAACCACATTCTCTTTGAACTGTTTCATTTTGGTAAGACCTTCTCCTGCTTGAAAGTATGTGAGAAATCTTTCTAAACCCCTTTGTGAACACTTAAATTCAAACACGTTATTGAATCACACAGGGAGAGATTCGTACCATCGTGCAACTATTTCTGCAAAGATTTTGCAAGGCCATTAACCAGCTCAAACCTTGAATCTCCATAATGCTATTTTAACCCTAATAACAGCCCACTCTGTCCCGGCCTGTGAAGATACAACACAGAAAATACCATCATCTTCAATCCCAGAGGTGTTGAAAGGATGCAGAGGCATCCATGTACCAGGTCCTACTTCTTACTCATACATGGAGTTTTACTGAAGGGTCTAAGACTGTTACGTGGTTTGTATAGAGGCTCTTTACCTCTAACCGAATTGAACGCACCCATTCTAAATACAGCCAAAAAAATCAGCAATCGTTAAAAGCATGCACATATAAAGGAGTATAGAAAGACTACATTAAAATATTTTAATGTTAGATTTAATTTGATTCTTGCAATGTGCATGTGAAAATGATAGATACTTGCATACCTCCATGAAGGAAATCCCTAAACTCCAAACGTCCGAATGAATTCCATACTGTTCTCCTGAAATCCGCTCAGGCTGCAAAGAGACAGAAAGAAACATCTTCTTGAGCCTAGCAAACAAACATATATAATTATTCCACATAAGCTAGTGCAGGGCAAACAAATCAACTGGGAAAACACAAAGAAGCTTAAAGCTCACCAGCCAACCTGGCAGAGAGCAAATCTGCTCTTCAAACACAACTTATTTCTTTTTGCCTCTTCTGCAAGAGCAAAGGACTCGGTTATGCTCAGACTTGTGGCCATGCATTGCTATGCACTTTCTAAAGTTGGCCTTGGCATTCGCGTTTGGGCTGGTTCATCCAACAAAAAAAGCCAATGGCTCGCACAGGCGCAGCAAAGTGCAAGGTCAAGTTGTGCAAGTCCAACGGTGTATTCGTCTATCGCTAAGCCCAGGCACAAAAGCAAGGTACGCTAGGAAAACAGACTCTTAACATTAAGTCAAGGGGCTGGGGAGTAACTATGGTTTAAAAAGCAAAGTTACTGAAGCCAAAAGAATCAATGAAGTCACATGCCAGCAATTTTATTTTATATACTTTTTAATTTCATTTTTGACCTATAGAAAGAAAGACTTCACTCAAAACTATTAATAGCAAGTTTAATGCCTCATGAAATAGAATGCTGTAAAATATAACTGCTAGTTTTTACTTGAAAGCTACAATTTAAGCATTTCCAAGGTCAAGTACAGCATGAAATGTAACAATAAAAGGCTCCATGAGACTTCTCTCCCCACTGTGCTGTTAATGCACCTGTCTAGCCCAACCACCTACGAAGCACTGGCTGTATTTTTAGTCTTTAATAATCCAGAGACCTTTTTTTAGAAAACAAACTCCCAAATTAGTGCCAGTCCAATGTGTTTTTGGATGTTTACTCTGCACTGCTAATCCCAGGTCAAGAGCTTTTATCGCAGCATGAACGTTAAGTAAACACCGCAATCCTGCCCACATTATCTTTAAGGATAGCCTTCTACAACTGCCATAACCTAAAAACACATCCCAGAATGTAACTGGAACAAAATCTTTTTGACTGAGCCTCATTTATTTTGGGCTGAACAGTGACTCCCCCAAATTTTTTTCATTTTTTATTTTTTTTTAAAGTTCATTAGGACAAGCCTTCATTAAGTATAGTTAGCCCAGGTCAGCGTATCTTAGAAATGTTTGCAACAGGATCATATAGGGATACGATCCTTAAGCATCCTTTTATACTGACAAAGATCCTCGTAAAGATGCAAATATGCAACCAAAAACGTACACCGACAGATACATCTGCCTTTATAACATAACATGGTCTCAGCTATCCCGACACAAGCATGTTTTGTTACCGGCAGACATCACACCTGCGGCAAGATGCTAACACCTGCAGAACCTTCTAGTGCAGACGAGACCCTGGCCTTTCCTGAGCCGCCAAATCAGATGCATAATTCACACCGAGCCATATTACATTGTTTATTCTTCCATTATAACAGCTCAAGCTTCAAACAGCAACTTATCTTTAGAAATGATGTACTCACAGAAGATAGTGGCAAGCAAATCACTTGCACATTTGAACAAAAAGTCTAGTCATGCGAATTTAAGAGTATGGAAAAGAAGATGAAAGTAAGAATAACACATGCATAAAGTCAAGCATGCAACATGGAGATCATCCTAAGGATACACAGCTCAAAAATATTTTTGCTCAAAAACTTCTAGAACTGGTTACTTTTTCAATCCAAATTTTTTTTTAATACAAAGTGGTGATAAAATGATTTTACAGAAAATGTATTTTTGTTGGAACTTTTAATTTCTCAATCAAAAAGCTTTTTTGCTTATTTTAAACAGAAACCTCAATTTTTTTAATGGTTTCAAATTCACTCACAGTTTGCCAAGTAGGTGAACCAACACTTAGGACCTTCATTATTTTTTGATGACTTGACTATAAATTTGGTGACGATAAATGACTCATTCAGCAAGCAAAACAATTTTAACACAAGAAATCAGATCAAGTACGTTTTAGCTTAAACTTCTCTTTTCCAATTAATAGACAAATGCATCACGTTCATCCATAAACAATAAGAAAAAAAGTAATTTATTTAATGTACACCTGGGAAAGACAACAGTAATCTTGATTTGTACACTAAAAGCATAATACAATTTAATTCTTAGACCTGCTTAAGACCACTCTAAGAGTAACAGCTGAGTTTGAAGAGCTGATTAATTTGAAGTTGTTTATATTTGTCTGAATTGCTATACTCCAGTTCTTTTACAAAATGAAGGCATAGAAATCAGCAGGCTTACTAGTGAAAGTGGTAATACATAAGACCAGATTTTTTTCCACTTTTTTTTTTTTTCTTTTAAACATTTTTCTGCACATAATATTCTGATGACACAGGATAGCCCAAGTCTTTCTAGGATGGTGACATGAGTGTTTCAGAAGCCACATAATGAGTACACCTCGACTAGGAAAGCACTTAGGAAAAAAATGGACACCGTGGTCTGCTTTCTTCTTACAAGTAAGAAAGAAAAAATACCTGAAAGTGATTAAAGGTCATGGATTTCTCTCTCCACTTTTCTGAGGTTTGAAAAATACAACTATCGACCACTTCGTATTGCTTACTTTTTTTTTAAACAAGCTGAACACTTATGTCGTAATATTAACGAGGAAAAAATAAGTAGTTTGCTAAAAGAATTTTAATGGTCAAAAATAAAGGACAACAGTTAAAATACTGCTCTAAACTGAAGCATTTAAGTTTTCGCATCCGTTAAATGGAGAACTAAAATTAATCAAATTGATCTAAAGGAAAATACAGGCTAATTTTTGTAGTTTACTTTCAGACTGGCTCTCGTCACCGTATTAATCCCAGCGACATGAGCGGCACACGCCAGTCGTCAGGTCAGCTAGAACTGCTACACCCAAACCTCACATCCTAGCTAACAGCAGCAGCGTTCCCCCAAACGACAGATCTTTAGCAACGTGTCACTTGGATCTAAAAATGAAGGGAGTTTATGCTTTAACATACAGGAACAGGACAAAAGTAGTCTCAACATAACAAGCATTCTGACCAAATTTATATGGAAAAGCTAAACGTAACGATGACTTGCTACGTATGGTATGAACACTACATATTGTGCAATTTAATGCCCTAACATTATTAGTCTGAGTATTTTTAGCTTCACATTTCCACGGCAGCTTCACATGGGAAACACCCACACAGGTGTTTAGGTATCATGAAGTCCACGAGAGCCTGCACAGGTCTAAATGCTTTGCCAAACTGCAGGCTCAGAGCAGGGGCTCCCACACCATAGACAGTATCTGCAAAGAGCCGCAGGCGATCAGTGGAAACCTGTTTTTTGAACGTTGAACTGGCTCTCTCCTTTGCTCCCAGTTATTACAATGCAGTAAAGGCAACTAAAAATACATGAAAGAAATACTTTTCCGATGCTACTCTTCCCTATCAGCAAGAAGCACGGTTGTCACATAGCCGGGAGGTGAGCACAGATAGGAAGGGAGCGGGTCTGCGAGACAGTACAAGGCAGTTGTTTAGTGGCACGCACAATTAAGACATAGCTTATGCCGGGGATAGGGAGAGATGAAGTTTGCGAATTGATTTAGAATATATCCTGCATTACACAGAACAAGACCGTGAACAAATACTTCTATTTAAATGTTATTCCTGCATAAATCCACTTACCGCCATATAAGCATTTGTTCCAACATACGTCTTGGCTATAGAATTCACCAGCTATCAGACAAAACAGTCTGTTAGAACAATATAAAGATAATGTGGAAATAAAATGGGCAATTATTCTTCATTTAACCTACAATCATCATTCCTATAAATCAACTAAAAATTATGTAAAAGGGAACAAATTTATCTGCAAAGGCATTAAAAATGATTAAATCTCTCTTTTGTTCGGAATGAGAGTTCCAATTTAAACAAGCACTGCATTACAGTTTATGGCAGATAACCTTAAACAACTCTGTTAAACAGGATGCTTATCGCTTTAGTACCCCAAACTAGTCTGATATAAAAAGTCAATTTGAAGTAGGATTGAACGCGCTCATTTTTCAGTCAGCTGGCTCAAGATGTGAATAAAGCCACATTCATCACTTGAATGCAACGAGCACTAAATACGCTGGAGGGACAACAGACTCTGACAAGTTATAATACAAGGCTGACCTTCTCTTTGGTCCTCATGTTTGGCTGAGAGTAAAGGTGCTGAAATTCAAATCAACATCACAGCAAGCTCATGGGTCACTATCAGAGAAGTTCTCCAGGGAGGCCCAAAATGGAAATTAATTAAAATTTGTGCTGCACATTGTAAAAGCCCACCACTATTGTTACTCCCAATATTAATTTTTATTGTGGGCCAGTTGGGCTCCCCAGACACATCTCTCGTTCTGCCCTCCCTTTTGTCTGGCCAAAACGCTTTCATATCGAAGCTGCATATCAATGAAGTTTGCTATTCGTAAGTAGTAATTACAATATCAGCAGTTTTTACTGTCATTAAACAATGAACAATCATATTCAGATGAAGAAAAGTCGCCCAGAGATTAAAAATGAATAGGGCTCTCCCAGCAGAGGGGAGCTTGCTGTGGGGCTGGTTGTCTGGCAGCCAGGTGATTTTTGACATTAGAAAGAGAAATGGCAGATATCTAAAGGGGGAATTACCTGCGTGCTAACCCCAAAGTCACACAGCTTCACCTGGCCTCGCGTGTTCACCAACATATTAGACGGCTTCACATCTGTTGGGGGGAACAAAACTATATTATCTATATTATCCCAGATAGGCATCGTATATACAGAGGTCATTACGAATATTGGCATGACAGGTTTTAATAGGAAACATTTCAAAGCTATGTTTCAAGTGCAACCTCTGGTTTGTAACAGTCAGTAGCACAGATGACATTATATCTGTACCTCTCAAATGCTAATAATCCATATTATTAAATCTGCCGGTGACACTAATCTGGGAGAGACAGCAAGTGCACTGGAGGATAGGACCTAGAATTCATAGAATCACAGCATGGTTTGGTTGGAGGGGACCCTGAAGACCATCTCGTTCCAACCCCCCTGCCATGGGCAGGGACACCTTCCACCAGACCGGGTTGCCCAAAGGCCCATCCAACCTGGCCTTGAGCGCTTCTAGGGAATTCAAAGTGATCTTGACAAACTGGAAAATCAGACTGAAAAAATAAGATGAAATTCAATAGGGACAAATGGAAGTGCTACATTTAGAGAGGGATTAATCAACTGCATAAATATAGGATTAAACAGCTGTCTGGAGTGTAGGCTGGAGCAGGTCTGCAAAAAAAGATCTGCAGATTACGGCATGAAGTGGAAACGACAGAGAGGGAACAAACTGTCACCAGATAACTCGGGAACAAGCCAAAAGCAACGGTGCAAACAGTGAAGTCTGTTTTCCTATCAAGGGATAGCTGGGCTGACCTTTTAAGGTTCATCCCAGCCCTGCGACTTTGTACTCTAACATTGCAATTAACCCTGGCTCCCTCTTCTCTAACAGCCCTCACTTAATTCCATGGAGTGACAAGAGCAGAATTTAATATTCTATAGAAATTACAAATAGAAAGTATCCCAAACACCTGTATATAGCAACACAGGCAAAACAGAAATCATATAAGCACATTCGAGCCTCCTTTTGCTACAGGAACATAATACAGTGCAGGTTTGCTCTTGGGCACACCATTATTCAAAGCTACCAGCTTCCACCTCCATGCCTTCTACTGCATAAAACAGCTCCGATCTCACGGTTTCAGAGCTTTTACAGAGGTTAACTGCCAGCAATGCCTTAAAATGATTATTAATCCTGCTCCAGTAAATAAAATGTCAGTGTACATCGTAAAGTCAGATTGTCAGTGCAAAGATCTTAATGCTGACCCCCTCTGATGACAAAAGAAGGTGGTACGCTTCTGTTGCATACTGTAAAACCGATGTGCGAATAAACATCCAGCCTGACGGTAGTGCAGGAAACATTGAGCATCTTTTCTGTTCCAGGGATGCCAGTCGGAAAGCATAATGTGCACGTTATGGCCTGGCTTAAACTTGGGAAGATTAGAGCACAGTGGCTTTGCCTAATCACTGCTTTCTTCTGTCAAAAAGGATTAAAAGCAATAGCTTGTATCTTTGCCTTCTTTAAAAGTGAATACTAGTTGGGTGCAGATGGATGAAACCCAACTAGAAAAGAACCTAATTTTGTTTATCATTAAGTTTGCCTTTGTTTAGCAGATGTTTTCTGGTACCACAGTAGCTTGCTTAATTTGTCTCTGTAATGTAGAAATGTATAACCTCAATTAACAAGCTGATTAAATGCTTTCCTATATTTGAGCTAAAAATCCAGTTTAAAAAAGGGAAGCGTTCAATAGCACGTTACATAGCTTAAGTGGATGTGTACATTTTACGTTAGGTATCAATACTGCTGGTACATTTTGCAATTTCCCCCCAAAGCCAAAAGAAAAAACACGTCACGAGCATCTCCATCATGTTGCAGCATCAATAGGTTCAGTTCGTGTATCCTGATCTCCATTTCACCTTTAGGAATTCAATCCCTGTGCTGCATTTTTGATGGATTTGTACCTATTCCCCCACCTCAGGTGATGAGACAAAACACTGCTACAAGAGCAATCCACGCAGTCACAAAATCTCCCATACGCTTCTCAACAGCAGTTTACGAATATGTTTTCTAACGAAAACTTCAGGGAGACGCAGATATTTATTTGTGGCAACCTGCTAAGCAGCACACTCCTCTCTGGTGTCGACTGACTTTGCTAAATCTAACAAGACATGCCGAGTACATCAGCAGGCTCTAGCCTGAATCCCGAGAAGAACAGTAAGTTGCGTAGTAATCCTGTTTAACCTTCTTTCTAAAAATATGGCAGCCAAGAGAGCTACCTAGTTACTAGGCTTGCGCTGAATTGTAATGAACTAACAGCAGATGCGATTACACGCGCAGAGCAGACTGACATTCTGCACCACGAACCCAGCCGTTGACAGTACCAACACCTCTAAAAGAAAACCGCAGTGTAACAAGAGGCTCTTGCTTTTAATTGTAAAGGATGTAACAAAAAGAATTCATAACCAAATGGACAAGAGAAACATTTTGTGCAGTATGGCTGGAAATAGGTTTGTGCGATCAGGACGGGCTCAACGGTATTGGTTTTTAACAAAGCAAAAAAACCCTTTCGGTCTGAGTGAAGGGTCTGGGAAGGCAGAAGGAAGCTCTAAGGGTGAAACACTACGACCTCACGGAAAGGGATGATGAGGCAACATGCACAAAGTCAGATTTTCCTTCTCTAAGGACTCAACCATGTCATGAGCTCAGAGGAAGAGGTAGGATGTTCTCCAAGGGCAGCCCACAATCCTCGTTCCCTCCACACGACCCACCAGAGGAAACCCCCACGCCACATTTGTCCCCTGTCCCACCAAGGAAGAGCCAAGGCTCTACCCAGCCATCACCTTGTGTCACAGGGGATCTGCAGATCCCATCTCCCCTTCCCTGCTACAACATGGGATACAACAGTAAGTCCAGATAATTAAAAAAAGTCTGTCGTTCATTAAGTGCAGCTTTATCCTGAAACCCTTCCAGAAACAAAACTAAAAAAAAAAAAAAAAAAAAAAAAAAAAAAAAACCCAAAAAAAAAAAAAAAAAAAAAAAAGGAAAAAAGCAATCTGTGATCAGCCCATTAAGGAAGGGAAGCCTATACAGGTTGGAGACTCTACTGAGCAAGTCGCAGCCAAACAAGCACTGCGAACAACAAATACTATCTGTCCTTGCAGCAGAATTTAAATAGTGCCGCAAATGGGGGATTTAAGCAAACATTTGCTATGAATTCCAATGGTTGTGTTGGTTTCCTCAAGAAAAAAAGGAAGTGACAATCCTAGCCGAAAACGTCACTCCACAAAATATCTCATATTGAAAGTGGGGAGAAAAATCACCCAATCAGTAAATTAGCCTTTTTGTTTCATAAACCGCTTCAGTTAATGGGTTAAACATTTTTTGTTTTTGGAAAACAAATGTGCATAAATAATGTTCTGCACCATCTGCTTGTGATTAATATTACTGTTTAGAAGTGAAAGAATTTAAACAAGAGCCAAAAGGGGTCATTATGCTTCCATTACCAGTGCTTGCTTAATACAAATGATTTCTATGAAACATCATTATAGAGGATGAACAAGTCCTCTTTATGATATATCTGCCTAAGTCGTTTCACCTCTCTGCAAATAAATGGGACCTCCAAGCTCTTACTTACCAGTAAAGAGAACTGTCAGAGGTTCAGCTTTTTGAACGCCAAACATTTCAGTCATCTCATTTTATTGAAAAGCAAACGGATTCATGATTGTGGGGAAAAAAATCCGTATTTTTAAAAGCTGCCTCTTGACTTTTTCTGTCTTTTAAAAATATAAAACTGCAATACACCAGGTTCAAGGAAGACAAGAGATACAAAAGCACAATTTTAGCTGCAGACAGCTCACAGAACATTACAGTTACAGCGAAGCTGCTGGAAGAATGAAAATATTTTCTTGCCATAACGACCTCATCGGCACGCTTTTTGCAGGATTATTTTTTTTAAATAAGCCTAAGTGGTCTATATAGTCTAAGCTATACATACATATATACACACACACACACATATATATATACACACACATATATACAGCCTAGTATTTTTGTTTGTGCTTCACTGTATGTGACACTAACGCTGATTACTCCTCACAAAGCTAAAAAGAGAGGGGAAAATTAAAATAGGTGGCTTTGGCCATCTCTGGTGAAATCCTCAGCAAACTACAGGTACTGCTGAGAAGCTGGGAACGCTCATGGTCCATACTGCAGTAGTGCCTGTCCCTACCAACCAGCACTCCTCACCCCCAGCAGCTTATGTCAAAACAAAGAGGATCTGAATATCCTTCTATGGGAATATCCTAGGGGAAAAAAAAAAAAAAAGAGATGGTCTGAGCGATGCACAAACCTCCCTTCTGCCATAGACAGCCACGCAACCAACTGACAGTCCAGGGAGATCTCCAGATCATCAACGCTGCTCAATCTCGCACATCACAAACCAGAAAACACTTCCAAAACTCTGACACAAATTTAAAACCTAGTCAGAAACCAACGCGCCCAAACCCATGCAATGTATACCGGCCTTCAGTACATGTACCGTCACGCATACAAACACAGATCAGTACAATTAAACACAAGCGGGTAACATTTATTTCATACATTTCTTTTAATGAGGAGGTGCGAACAGATAAAACCACACCAGATAAAATGCATATGGTCTATACTTATTCTTGAACTTAACAGATTTTGGTTTGTCTTTATACAAACTTTGACTTTGTACATGATTAGACTTGTTTAATTGCTAATTCTGTTTTAAATCTAAGTTAATTTCTCATTACCCTTCCATTTCTACTTCTTATCCTCTGGGGAAAAGAGCACACTTATCATTGGGACATTCTCACATCTTCCAAAGAAGTGGGGTAGGTGTTAATCTTATGTTTACGTTTGATGTGGGTGTGATGACTATGACTACAGCTTTGGGTTTATTAATATGCACGGCTATCACCTCATTAGTTGCAAGGTTTGTTTTGAAGTTAAGCTGTTATATTTGCTGAAGTGTCTGATCTGGAATAAAAGACTTGCTCATTGTTTGTTTCCTTTGCTTTAATCCACGCTCTAGTCACAAACTGTCACTTGCTGCACTGCCTTACACAGCTTCTTCACCATGATTGCTTCTCCACCTTCGTTATCACCACGGTGGAAATTCTTGACTTCTTAGCCTATGCGAGCCTCCCGCCTGGCCCGCTTTACGTGCGACAGCGAGGAAGTCAGGGTTAAATTTTCATTCGCTTCTCTCTGATGCATTAAAACCAGTAGACAGCTGAATGGGATTACTTTGAGAAAAAGGCATCTTCCTTGCATTGTATTATTCCGTACCCATTTTTACGATAGAGAAGTACACATACATTTTCTGCATCTTAAAAATGGATACAGAGTAATACTGAAAACCAATCCCTTGAGGAAACTCTGCTGAACGCTGGAATGCTAGTTATCCCCTCCACGGCATTTTGCAGTGCTGTTCTCACCTTGGTCAATCTAGCAACAGACGAAGGCCAGAAAAATCTGAAATGTGATGAAAAATCAGCTTCTGCGCTTTTCTTCAGACCACAGCAAGGACCATACATAATTCATCAAAAACTCAAGAGCTGCTCTTCAATCAAGGCAACGAAACCCATACAGAGGGGGAGATTTTGTTTTACTGGCAAAGCAAAAATCAGACCCAGGTTCTAAATTTACAGCAGAACAACAATAAAATCTTACAGTTATAGTATTTATGCTTGACCACAATGCTCTCTCCAAATCACATTCAGTAGGTGCCCAGAATCTTTAATGAAAAAATTAAAAATGAAAAAAAAGTTCAGATCTGCTTTTTTCTTTTTGGGTGTTACGAAAGCGTGGCAAAGACTGTGTAGCCTATTCAGAGGGATACCCAGGCACGGACGTCCCAGCAACCTTTTCTTTTCTATTTATTCTGACAACTGCTGTGACAGCTCTGGCATCAAGACTGTACAGCCCCTTGCTGCGAGAGGATGGAGCTGCTAAATCTCTGCATCTGGCAACATTCAGGCTAGTAGGTGAAATGTTTAAACCATCACCAGAAACGAAGCCTCCTTGGTAACCTGTGTCTGCACCGAGTTGGTCATGGACTCTGGGTTATTTCTGTTCTTTTAATCCAGTGACAGCGTAGGGTCAAACACACCAGCAGCCTTAGCATTTCACTCACACTCTAATCGGAGGAAACAAAGATCCTTACTTGATCTCTACTCACTCTTCTGGCCACAGCCCTCTTTCTCCCACCCAGGAGACAGCCTGTGCTCTCACGTCAGAGTGATCTCCCAAGAAGGAGATGCCGTGAGACCGAGGAGGAATCGAAGCCGATGTCCTGTCACAGAGCTGCTCGCTGGGCTGTTACACAAAGGAAGGCTCCATCTCCTCCTCCACTACAAACTCTCCACAAAAGCCTGAGGACAGCCTGAGACTAAGCTCTAAGGAGGAGCAGGACCTCAATACAAACTGGTAATTAGTGTTTCCTATTAGCTTGTTCTCCCCACTCAGTGCACAGCTTTCTGGATGACTCTCCAGAGGTGCCCGACTCCGCGCACTGATCGCACCAGGACACTGGGCACCCAACCCAGGCATTGCTCCTCACCTCGCCGGAGCCTCGCACCTACTTCTCAGCCACTCCAAAACTAGGCACCCCACAAGAAACGATCTTACCTATCTGGTTTGCAACTTAAAATTTTCTATGTGTCTCTACTTTACGCTTCTCTTTCAATCACAAATGATGTCGGTTACTGCACGCTCCAACTGTGCACGCGGGCTGAGTGAGCAGATGGGTTAAATTAAACAGTATTGTTAGTAACATTAGGAACCAGAGCAGTTACTTTCAGACACTTTAGAAACATTATAAATGTAATGAGTTTCTCTTTCTTGGTTTGGGTTTTTTTGGGGGTTGTGTTGGGTTTTTTTGTTTGTTGGGGTTTTTTTAGGGGGGTGGTCGTGGTGTAGGGGGAAAGGCTTCTTTGTTCTTCAGACAGCATTTTCCAACATTTCCAGAATTGACACTGTTTTTGAAAGCTCCAGTATATCTGAATTAACTTACCACAATAGATAAATTTTTAACAAAATGTTACAACATTAAAAAGCAAGAAATACATGAGAAGTTTAAAAAAACCCAAACAGTAAACAGATTAGCTTCATGAAGGATAATAAACAGCAAACCCCCAAAATGGCTAATGTGCAAGCAGGTTTAAAGCTTCTTTAATTATTCATGACCATGGTAGAGGACAGTGGGCCACAATTTTAGAGATCTGAGACTCTATCAATGCTTGTGGCTGTCACGGGAAATTTCTGAAGTACATAAGAAAATTCATTATCTGTCTTCTATTTCCAATACTAGTCAAACATCTGATTTTCCTTGCTGATTTTTCCACTGCGCACCTGTTTGTAACCCTAAGCATCTAAATCTCTATAAAATTCATTTCTCTCTTTAGTCTTTTTCTTTGCAGGGGAGTAGGGAGAGCAGTAAAAGAGAACAGTAGTAAAAATATTTTATCAGAAAATCTGCAAGGCTAATGAGTAAGATTCATTCTGCATTTCTCCACTGGAATCCAACCAGATGTCAGTATGGTCTACTGTCTCTGTAGAAAGTGTTGTTAAAATAAAATAATATGGTATTTCATTGGAAAACAGAAAACATCTGTTACTCACCTCTGTGTAAAATCTTTAGACTCCATAAATAGGTAAGGCCTTTCACAACCTGAATTTAAAAGAAAAAGCAACAACACATATTAAAGATTCCCGCTAAGAAAGACTACACATCTCAGCTGGTGCGAATCGTTGAAGACCTGAGTCCCAAAGAAGAATGGAGCCAGGACCATGAAAAAGGGAGACAAAGCATTCCTTCCAAAGGATTGCAGGACCAAGACAAACCCCTGCTGCAAGCCTGCCGCGGACCACATGGCAACAGGTTCTCTAAGAACACAAGAATAAGCTTCTTCCCAGGATCTGTATGTTGAAGTTAGCTGAGCTTACACTGAATCCCTTTAGGCATTTCAATGTATTTTTAATTCATCTATCTTTGCTGAGGTGTTAAAAATCATGAAAGACAAAGCGCATAATGATTTGTCTTCCTGCAACAAGAGCAACCCAGTGAAATCAAAGGCCAGAAAACAACAAAATCTCTAATAGCCTCTCCCACTTCATCCTCCCTTTCCCCTTCTTTCCATTTGGTGCATCCGTACTTTTTCCTCCTTTACTTCCCCTGCTTTTACTTACTCAATGCAAACATGGAACATTTCTTCTTGAACTGGATAAATTGTCTCATTCTTCATACTACTGATCTTGGACCAAACACAAATCTTACTGCATCCCATAGCCCCAGAAAATACAACTGGGACCCCTAAAAGATAAGAACCGGGACAGACTTTGGCCTGCTATTCCAGAATTTGCTCCTTTCCCCACCTAAACTGTTAAAACCAAACTCAAAAACCTGTTACTCCAGTACTGCATTGGAATGTCTTATGTATGAGATGTATTTTAGTGAAAACTTGTAGGACGTGGATTTGTAGTATGAACGCAGCTATATTTTCCAAAACAACAACCCATGACCCTTCCTTACACACAATACGTACATAAGGATCTTTCAGAACCAGTAAGATCATCACTGGATCCAACTGCCACTCTATTTATTTTCTATATATACTATGATTAGAATAGCCCCAAATTCAACAAGCTGCTCAGTGAACTCCCTAAGAGAGCAGTTGGATGTCACAGGCCATCATCTCTGCAGATTTGCTTTCTGTAAAGTCATTAAACCCCAATACTTCTTGCATTTTTAACATTGTATTTTTCCCCTAGATTTACTACTTTTACAAGCCCCGAGAACTAACAAGATTCAACAAACATACTTCTACTACTGCTTACTTTTCACCCAAACCATCCCTGCTGTCTCAGACAGCTTTTTTAACAGAGCAAATATCTTTTATAAAGTTTCCATCTGAGATGACATTTCATTCATTTTCCTGAGACACTCTCTTTGTGCATCTCCAGAACAATAAAGCATTTCCGACATTTGTACAGTCGTATGACTTTTTCAGACAAAACAATTACATTCTTTTCACTGTCCGAACAGACTGAAATGAAATTACTTCTGTTACAGTGATCAAGCAGAAGTGCTAAAAATATTACACAGTGTGAAAGCAGATAGCATAGTAATTTTCAGCCTTCCTATTGGATTACAAACTCTTTTGAAGATTTATTCCGTAACCAAAACCAACATCAATGGCATCTGAATCTCTTTTATAAAACAAATAACGATTCTAGATCCCCAGTAAATTGCCCTAGGTGGCAATTTCTCAGTGTTAAATTCACACTCCATACCCAGCTATCTCATGGTCTCAGATGGTAATCACCTGTACCAAAAGGCCTTAGTCACATTCTGCATGCCCAGCGGCATGGCCTTGCTCACCTTAGCCTTTCCAAAAGCAGAACAGGGGAATTCTACCTACACCGCATTTTGACGTAAGAGGAAGAAAGGAAAAAAAGTACTGATGCAAAAATAAATAAGGTGGGTGCAACATTTCAGGCTTCCTTCAATGGTGAAAGTGATTTTCAGAATAGTAAGCTTCTTTGATTATTAAACATATATTTAGACTATTTAAAATCTTTAAAAACTGTTATAAAACTATTTAAAAACTGTTATAAGATTATTTAATTCATTTTAAAGCTCATATTCATAGAAAAAAGGCAACATTTCCTACAGGAAAAAAAATCAACAGCTGTGAGTTATTAAGCATCTATTATGGAACATGTGCTGAATAAGCAGTTATAAAAGACACGGTATTAAACAAACTCTCACATTCAGATTCTCTCAGCATCGGTGTACGAAGGCAGGAAAAGAGTTTTTCCCTTTATCCTGGGCTGCAAATCTATGCTCAGGAGCCCCCCAGGTGGACCAACCTAGCGTAAAGTACCATTGTTCACTTTACATTTGCCTATTAGGGAAGGACTCTTAAGTATTAAATATTATTCTAAAACGGTGCTGGAAGAGAGTATCTTTTGATTGAATATCTAGCAGGAATTATTGGTATTCAGTAAAGTAGGTTTTACAACAATGACTTGACAAAGCCTTGACACAAAAAGTACTTCTACCTGCTGTCAATCACTCACTCTCTTGACAGTTCAAGTGCACATCCTTTCAGGGAGAACTTCAATCAACATTAGCACTCAAAATACAGCGCACAATGTCACTGCTTCAGAAATTGAAGTGAAAATAAATGTGTGAAGTGGCAAGCAAAGGTAGAACAGATTTTACATCGGCAGACCCAAGTAAGTACACACCAGTACGGAAACAGGAACGACCACAGCATCACTGTGGGGTTCCCAAGACATACTTTTCCTTTGGAAAAACACACCAGCCCTTCACACAAAGAAAGAACACAAGGAAGAAGAGAGATTTCCCCTTCTC